GATTTTTTATTTGAAAAATCACGTTAACGTATTTCGAATTTATTTGTTAATCAGTTAATGTATTATATTAAATAAACCGTCGTACAGAAAATATCATCATATCGCTCCCCTACTATAACAGCCCAGACTGTACATCAGTTTTTTAAAGATATTTTATAAACAAAAAACCATTTYTATTTTTATTTGCATACTTAATTCAAATATTTTCCCTACATTTTTTTTCCTTATCGTAAACGTGTTATTTTTATAATAGCGCGTTAAGAATTATCTTGGATTTCTATAGCGATCTATATTATTTATTTATTGATCTATAGCACTATACTTTTTGAATTTGTTTTAATTCTGCTTCAGARCATATCGTGATATTATACTAATAKATATGCGTATATAAGCTGCAAATATATATAGTTTTCATTCTCGCGCTAGAGATGATAATTATTAAGCGTTAGACCAACTGRCGTATGTTTGAATAATATTACTATRGATACAATTACAGTATAGTCAGTTGTCAGAATATATAGACAAACTATATATGACAGACGTAGAAATAGTATAGAAATGTATACTATATAAGTTACTAGGTATCCATAATTCTAAATAGGCCATGTCGTAGGAGAATGCATGAGCCGACGTAGCATATCATAATGCATGTTAATGTAAAACAGAATAATACTAGGTATTATAAATACCTTAATAATATATAACAGATATAGTGAGATCGAAAAATGGAGAGTATAAGTAATTTCAAAAGTAAAAGTCGATGAGGATTGTAGGAGAACTGAAGAAGTATTATATTATATGAATCATCTATAGCGAGCAGTCATTRTTTTTAATATTATGTTGCTGTTTCGTTTTAAAATCCAAAGTGCTTAATAATCGAAATCGCAGTTATAAATTATATCGTATAGATTGGTGCCACTGTCGTATATCAATAATGTACAATTATGYGTGAGCATTTATGACAATATTATAATATGTCATACCTAACCAAATAAATAAATAAATATACTGCGACTCGACACATGTAACGTGCTTYGTATTTAAGTACTCATTMATTTTATACTGAAATAATATTCCTATAATAATACCTATACAACGTGCGCACTGTTCGCGTATCGTTTATATTGATGGTCAATTGTGAGGTTTTTGGCGATAATTCGGAGATTATTTTTTTTAAATGTTCTTAGACTGGACGGCGAGAAGCCTAGGATGTACCCGTGAAAAATAATATCTCGCTGTCAAAATGTGTAATCCGACTCCGCGACGACTGAGACCTTAAAAATATATAATCGGTATAACACCCAAACGCGTCGCGCGTATGGCCCGCCGCCGCCGGTAAATGGAAACTGTTATTACGAAATAATAACATTATGTTTATGATATAGACACGCGCGCGTGGGTCGGATAAAGGTAGGTATATTATATTATACCTAGACGAATTTAATAATAATTACGTTTTCCATTTATTTATTTTTTTCTTATACGAATTCGCCGAGTGTACCTATAATACCTACGCGGAGTTTAAAAGTGATTAACAAAAACCTTACTTATGGTTTCCAATAATTATCGTGACGTCATTTTTTTTATACGCTCAAAGATTAATAAGATTATCAAAATAATAATAATAATAACAAAAACCGTGAATATGTTACAAGCCCTCCCATGTAGTTGTGCAAAAAAACACAATATTTCACACACTTGTTTAAATTTTACTTATGRTTTCCGATAATTGTCTTGAAACCATTTTTTGGTGCAGTTAAAGATTAATAAGTTTATATAAATTAAAAATTATAAGCCCTCACATAGTTGTAAAAAAAAAAAAAA